ATACACTCATTCCAATATATGCAAACGTGAGACAGAACATGGGCTACATATTTAGGAAACATACCAGATAATTGAAGTACAAAAATAGCAACTGCATAAAAATAAGAGAAATAAAAGGAAAAGAGAAGCATATGCAGCTTTGGCCCGAAGGGCATCTTTCTATTTTAATATATAAGAAAACAATATGTGATCTTCTTTTTAGAAATCAATATGTTTCGTTTTCATTCAAATAGCTCGATTAAATCATCACTCGAATGATTTAATGAATCGAAATCTTCATTTGAGTGCAACTCTAAAAATTAATACTCAATAAACTAAGCAACATGGTATATTAATGAATCTTGTTGATTTCAAATTAAAATCACCTCAAAATATGACACAAATTGATAAAATAAGATAATATATTTTATAAAATATTATATAAATATATGATTCTATCAAATTATAAATTAATCATATTCACAAATAATACATTTCATTATTTCTTTTGAATTCACAATATGTTTTATTTCTATTTTATGTGATTTTATAATACTATTGATATTTAATTAAATTATATGTAAAAACTAAAATACATTTAAGTTTTATGATACACATCTCGTATATATAAAATTAATAAAAAGGATATAAAAGTCAAATTTAATGAATATATAAACGATGAAATCAACTTTTTTCTTATTTACAAAAACATATATTTAAAAATATAGAAATGTTAAAAAGGAAACATTTTATAAATTAATAAGTCTACGTACAATTAATAATGTTTCTATAAAAGTATACCTTTTATTAATATTTATAAATTAATAAAATATTTTAATCCTAACATTAGTAATTTGCAGAGTATTTAGTTGTTTACTGTGGTTTCACATTTTTAGGGATGTGTTTCCATGGACAGAACAGAAGTCTAATAAAAGGATTTTTGAATATATGTTTTAAGTTGTAGAGTGGGCTCAACATTTATAGTGAAAAAGTGTAGGTTGAAAGATACCGATTAGTTTGGGTAGTTCCACATTTTTCTACAATGATCTTGAAAAAATATTCCTAGAAGCTAAAAGCTTTTTATTAATTTCTGCTGAAGCAAATCATGAATCTATCTTAAATACTACTAGAGTTTCACCCGCATATCCGTGCGGGTATATTTTTTTATTTTATAAATATATAACTAATTTTTTTTAATATATGATTTATATTTTAGTTTTAATTATAATCATATCTAATAACGAAATAAAGAAATACTTATTTTATAAAAAATATATTTAAAATTTTTGGTAAGATCTTGTTAGATTTTTTCAACAGATTTTGTTATATTTAAATTTATTTATTATTAATGTTCTTATTAGTTATTAAGATATTGTGAAAATCATATATATTTGACTGGTTATTGTAACAATAAAATATGTCAATTAAGTAATTAATAACATGGTCCAACATGACTTCTAAATAGTAGATAAATTTGGTACTTCTCTTTTAATAGAGAAGATATTCAGAGTACACCCATTATATCAAGAAATTATATTTAAAATATTATTGAACTAAAAAGGTATATATGACAATGAGTATTGAAGCTAATTTATTTGGACCGTTATATATTTTTTTGATAATCAAAAAATTTATCACTAAAAATTATTTTATTAGAATAGATTGAAAAGTGGGATGAGAATATTAAACTAAACAACATAATTTGAAAAGACGGTAAAGGATTTACGCCTATGAATTCCGCCACCTGGATTTGAAATCCGGTCCCTGAGAGATTTGATATATGGACTCTCCAGTATCCGAAACCGAAGATCGTTATAGATGAGCCATATGGTGATGTCCTGGCAGTGACCTTGCTCATTTCGGTCTATAATCTGGACCACCTAGATAGGGTCAAAATATTCGGTTAGCAAAAAAAAATTTGAAATAAATAATCCTTTTACCTCCATTTAAAATTAAGTTGTGAGTCACGCATATATTTTTACCTCCTATGTAATTTAAACAACACAATTTGAATTAAATGATCTTTTACTGCAATTAGAATGCTAAACACTAGGACTGGACAAATAAAGCGAATCCAAAAATTCGAATCAAACCCGATCCGATAAAAATGCACCTGAACCGATTCAAAATCGACATAAATACCGAATAGGTCTTGTGTTATGGTATTTCAGGTTATGGGTATTATCCGATCTGAACCCGAACCTAAATGGATATCCGATAGAATCCGAAACATTCAAAATCACAAAAAAAAAACTTGTACCAAACATGATTTCAATTTCTAGTATATATCCAAGATACTTCTTCTCTATTAAAAGAGAAGTACTATTTATATCTACTACAAAAAAGTCATATTGGACCATCTCATTAATATGACATATTTAATTATTTATATTAATCAATCAAATGTATATAATTGGAAAAATAATTTAATAATTAGTAAGATATTAGAAATAAATTTGTTGAGAAAATATCTATCAAGATCTTACTAAGAAGTTTAAATAATTTTATAAAATATGCATTATTTAATTTCGTGATTAATATCTATATTAATGTTAATTAAAAATAAAAATTGTTATATTTATAATATACCTATATTCCATATTATATTAAAATAAAATGCTATGTGAAATGAATATAAAATATATTAAATTGGTAAAGGAAAATATTTTATTTAAAATTTTTTCTTTTATTCAAATAAATAAATAAATATCACTCACTTTTAAAACATATTAATGTTTTTAAATCATATAATATTTTTGTAAAAAATATTTTAACATAAATTTTTGTAACTCACAACAAATACATTATATAAAAAATTATATATGAATATTTTTTATTTTTAAACTTACAACAATCTAATAAATAAAAATAATTAAAATTATTAGATTATACAATTATAGAATATATAACAATAGAATGTAAATCATATATATTTGAAAGGTATTGTTATATTTTAATAAAATGAAAAAATACCCGCACGGATGTGCGGGTTCAAAATCTAGTTAAGATATTATTGAACATCTAAAATAATTATTTTTACAAGAAAGTTGATGGTTGTAGGTGGTGGCTGAAGCTTGAAGTTTTTAGTTTTTGTCTTTATTTTCACTGAATAATGTTTCTCATTTCAAGAGAACTTAGTTTTCGTTTTATGACTTCATTTATTTGGTTTTCTTTCTATTGGTAACTATGTTTACCTTTCGTTTGATTTTGAATGATCACGTTTAATGTTCTTTTCTTATTTTTTGAATCAATTTTATTTATGCTTTGGTTACAAAATAGATACAAATCATGTACTTTAAATTTTAAGAATCGATTTTACTTATGTTCAGATTACAAATTAAATACAAATCATGTACTTTTAAACCAAAGAACCGATTGTACCCGAAACCGAAAGTACAATAGGTTATACCGGTTCTTTGAAAATTTACTAACCTTGACCTGAACCCCATAAAACCCGAACCGATTCTGAACCCCATAAAACCCGAACCGATTCTGAACCGAATGTTCATATAATCTGAAGAGGGTTGATTTTGATAAACCAAAAAATTAAAACCTGATTGGATTAAACCAAAACCCGATCGAGACCTCGAATGCCCAAGCTTACTTAAAAACCTACCATTTCCATGTTTTAAAAGTATTAACTAGTTATTCTCATATTTCTCCATTTTATACTTTTCATTATTTTTTAATTAATCAAACAAATGTTCCCCCAAACACTAGAATGTGTAGAATTAAGTCATTATTAAACTTGATCAGAATATCATCGTAACTAATTTTAAAAAATCTTAAATAAATTTTGAGAAAATGGAAATTCATCTGATGGTCTCGAGCCCCACAGGCCACAACAAACTTCGTATTAGGCCTCGGCATTCGGGGTACCAATCAGATTTCAGTTTTGTCCAATCGGATCTCGGTTTTTCGGATTTATCAAAATTAGCCATATTCGAATTATTTGAAAGTCCGGTTAGGGATCGGTTCGGGTTCTATCGAGTTCGGGTCAGGTTTAGTAAATCTTTAAAGAACCGGTATAATCCATTATACTTTCGGATTCGGGTCTCAATCGGTACTTTGGTTTGAAAATACCTGATTTGTACCTACTTTGTAATCAAAACATAAGTAAAATCAGTTCTTCAGATTTAAAATGCATGGTGTGTAACTATTTTGTAACCAAAACATAAGTATAATTAATTTAAAAACAAGAAAGGAACATCAAACATGATCATTCAAAATCAAATCAAAAAGTAAACATAGTTATTAATAAAAAGAAAACCAAATAGATGAAAGCATAAAACGAAAACCAAGTTCTTAAAAAATAAGAAACATTATTTAATAAAAACAAAACCTTAATCTAAAAATTTCAAGTTTCAACCATTAACCTTCATGTAATAGATAATTATTTTAGATGTTTAGTAATATCTTAAAGTATTTTGGATATATATTAGGAATTACGATCATATTCGGTACTCGTTCGTTTAAATTTTTTTGAATTTTTCGAGTTCTATCAGATGTCCATTTAATTTCGGTTTCGGTTTGGATAACATCCATAACCCTAAATATCATAAAACAGGATCCATTCAACATTTTAAATCGGATTCGAATTGATTCGAATTTATTTTTATCTCGGATTTGGTTAGGATTTTTGGGTTCGGTTTATTTGCCCAGTCCTACTTCGTATCATTGCCTAACTTTAAAGGATATCTTCTAATCTTATGGTTCTTTTGATTATTCTGTCATACTTAACTATTAAAACTCTTCATATTACTATTATATATTTATCTAGCATTCATAGAAAAGCTCCTAAAAATAAAACTGGCATCTCTAGCCTAATCGTTACTGAATAATTTTCCTCTTTTTTAAAAAATTATTTTTAATTGATTTCATAATATATTTTCCATTTAATATTTAATGAGAAAAAGTACAATTTGTGGAAAAGTAAAAATGGCACCGCTTTGTACCATTATATTACATCATACATTGGTCTCCTTCATCTTCCTCTCCCTCTCTCTCTCCGGTGGCTTGCGATGGCAAAGAATCAAGCAAGCCTTCTTCTCCAGAAACAGCTCAAAGGTATGGATCTATTTTTTTATTGAATTGGGTTTTGATTTTCGCTGAACTTCGATTTAGGGTTTGGCTAATTATCGTTGTGGGGTTTGTTTTCAGATCTGTGCAAGAAGCCTGTTGATGGTTTCTCTGCAGGGCTCGTTGATGAGAATAACGTTTTCCAATGGAACGTTTCTATTATGGGTCCCCCTGATACTTTGTAGTGAGTTTCTTGTTTCTCATGTATCTATATACTCTTTGCTTCTTGATGTAAGGATTTGATTTAGATCAAAGTGTAGCTTATGGCATCAATGTTTGTGTTGCATTTTGCTTAACTGATTCATTACATTGTAGTGTCTGATTGGTTCCATTGCTTAACTGATTCTTTGAATTGCATTGTCTCAGGATGTTCTAAAAATGGTTAGGCGCGCCTTATAGAGGGTTATTGTTTAGCCGGGCGCCTATGCCGATTTTTTGAACGCCTAGACCGAAAAAATTGTTTATTTGCCCGACTAAGCACCACCTAGACCAATTTTTAAAAAGTCGGTTTGAAAAAATTGTTTTGTTTACATCTGATTTGCCGACAAGGCACCGATTTTTTGAACACTTAGCTGAATCATTATATAGTAGTATATGATTGGTTCCATTTTGACATGAATCTTTTGTTTACCATTGGCTTAGCTGATCCCTTATCTTGCGGTATTTGATTGGTTCCATTGTATTGCACTGGCTTTATGTTATGTTTGATTGTTACCTAGTAACTCGTTTTGTTGCTATAAATGTGGAGCTTGGAAGATTTGAGGTTTTGTTTTGATACCAACTACCAACTTCCAAAGCGTTGAGTTTTGTTTTCTGGTTGCAGTGAAGGAGGGTTTTTCAATGCAATCATGACGTTTCCAGAGGATTATCCTAATAAACCACCAACTGTGAAGTTCACCTCTGAGATGTGGCATCCTAATGGTGCTCCCTCATTCTGATAAATAACTGAGTCTCTAGCTTTTGGATTTGAGTCCTCTGATGGCTTATAAAACCTTTTGAAACTGCAGTTTATTCTGATGGGAAGGTTTGCATATCGATTCTTCATCCTCCTGGTGACGATCCCAATGGATACGAGCTTGCTATGGAACGTTGGAACCCTGTCCATACGGTTTGCAACTCATTTCATTTTTTTCTTTGACTAATTTAGCTTCAGTACACTGGTCATCTGTGTTTATAGGTTTGGATTTTTTTCTGATGGCATTCTTGCATCCTAAGACTAGTTTTGTTTGATCTTTAGCTTATACATTTGTGCCACTTAATTATGGAAATTAGAAGCCGGACTTGTTTCTGTTGTCTTTGAGCTTTCTCTCTGTTTTTTTTTAGTAGATGATATGATTGAGAGCTAATGGGTGTTGTTGTGTATGATTGCAGGTAGAAAGTATTGTGTTAAGTATCATATCTATGCTTTCCGGTCCCAACGATGAGTCACCAGCGAATGTGGAAGCTGCAAAAGAATGGAGAGACAACAGAGCAGAGTTTAGAAAGAAAGTGAGTCGCTGTGTTCGAAGATCGCAAGAGATGCTATGAAACATCTCTCCTGCGTTTTTATGTATTGTAGAAATTTCGATCCTAAGCTAAGAGAGAGAGAGGGTAAGAAGGAAGCAGCAGATGAATAATCTGTTGTACTCAAAAAGCTTGTTTTCTTTTTCTTTGGTGTTTGGATTTGTCTTTAAGGTATGGAATATTGTGGTGGAATCAAATCTGCTCCACCTTTAGGATTATGATTTACACTCGTTAATGGATTCGTTTTCATATTCCTATCTTCACTTTGTTTTTGATCTGATGATATTTCTTTAGCCATCGACAATATATTAATTACTCTAAGCTAAGATTATCTTCAACTTATTTTTTGTTTTTCCAAACTGAGATGTACTTCAATGTAATCTTCTAAAATTATTTTTTTTCAAAATATAAACTATAAAAGAGAATATTATTTTCTCGTTAAAAAAAACTAAATATCCTTACTAATTAATTATTTTATGGTAGGTTAATTTCTTAGGCCATGTTCAAAGGGGGAACATTTGATGTGTTCTTAGTATTAAAAAAATAATAAAAAATAGGAATGTGTTCTTCGATTAGAAGAACTGCTCTTCCTGAAGATCTGTTCTTGGTGTGTTCTTCTGCCAAGTGTCAGTTCTAGATTGGCCATCTTTACTTTCTCTCCTTCATTTCCAATTACTTTCTCCTTTACCTTAATTTTTTATAATATACACTTAACTTATTTTTAATACTAAGAACACATCAAGTGCTCCCCCTTTGAGCTTGCCCTTATGCTGGTGTGTCCTTTGATATTTATTGATCGCTCCCGGTGACGTAATATCTCTCTCTATCCTTTTGGTATTGACAATTTTTGTGAAGGAAAATCAATCTTTTTCGAGTTTTTATAATCTTCTGTTATAATTTGGATAGAGACTCTTTAGATCAAACTATTCTGAAGGTCGATATTAATATCTATTGGTGTCTATTGGTGAGATTCAAACTCTTGTGTTTGTACAGTTAAAATAATATGAATCCAATTGTCAAATCTCTGATACTTTGTTTTCGCAATAAAACGATTAACCGACTTAGACTGAGCTAATATATTCTTTGAAAATCTACGAGAACATTGAGAAATATGCAAAAGCATAGATCTTTGTTTTCGTAACAAAGTTAGATATGCACTAAAATTTGGTTGTTCTGAACTACGCACAAAATATTTTCACGTATGTCATGTTCGAGTTAAGTAAGTTTAATATATTATTTCAGTTCCTATTTAAATTTACAATTTTGACAAAAAAAAATTCAAAAATATAGTTCTCTAAAGTCACAATGAAAATATTATTTTGAGATGCAATAATTAAACAAATCAAATTCGATAAATTTTTGTAACTAATATACAAAACAATAACACAACAAATTTTGAAACATTTGTTAACCTAGCGATTTCTTTTCATAAGAATTCAACTAAACAAGATAAAAAGACAATTAGATTTAAAATATTTAATTATCAGTTTATTCATTTTGCTGACTTTTCATATATATTTTGGATATTAACACACAACAAATTTCAAATTCGTATGTTTTTGAAGTTACAAAATAATATATTTCTACACTAGCATTATATATAGATTGTACATACACCAATAAATATAAATAACAACATAAGTTTGCTTTCCGCGATTCATTTGAAAACTTTTTAAGTTATCCACCAAAGCAACTTAATTAAATTAATCCAATTGTTAGAAAATAGCATGTCATCTATATTAGAGCTGGGTATAAAATTCAGCACCAAATCCGCTGATTTAAAATCCCAGAACCTAAATCAGGTTGGATTTATAAAAATACTGAATGGATATTAAGTTGGAAGAGATTAGATAAATGATCTTGATTAGACAACACCTGGTATCTAAAGGTAATCCAAATATATTCGAAATTATATAAGATGTCACCCTTGAATATATTTATTTCCTCAATCTCAAAAATCACATGTTACTAAAATAGTGCAAGTTCACTGATTTCAAACAAAAGAAAATATAATTTTTTGAATATCTACTATATTAGATTGGTGATGAAGTATGCTCTCACATGGACTTTATCTATGATTAATAATTTGTTTTCATGATAATCTAATATATATAAAAAAAAATTGGATTATAATTTAGATTTAACTATTCTTTATTCATGTCACATTTGCATTTGCTGATCTTTCTATACGTATTTTTATATAGTAAAAATGATAAATTGTCTGGTTTATTCATTCTAATTCAATCTATGATTTATATATTTATAACAAAGGATGCAATATATGTGCATTATTATATTAGATATATTTATATTTGTTTAATCCCGGACGTAGCCTGAGAAAAATCTCTAGTAAACATAAACACACAAATTAAATATTAACTATATAAACGATAGGTTTAGAAAATAAAATAATATCAAAGCACTAGAGAAGTCAATTATTTACCCATAGTTCTCCGGCTAATTTCTCCATTGTGGAGTCATATTCTTCTTCAGCTATATATATTCAAATACGGTGTTTTCTCATCCAAGCTCATCCATCTTTTAGTAGCGTCCATAACAAAATTAATTGCTGATTTGGTTTCAGGGTTTTCCCCATAGTAAATTAGACGCTGCTCAAAAATGAAACATGCAGGCTCCCATTTTCTTAGTTAGGGGTATAACATGAAATTTAATGATTTTCTTAATCTACGGAGGGAGTATGTCTAACCAATCATCAGCTATAATTGTGTGCATAATAAAGGGGATGTGGCCATTACAATAAATAACGATTTAATAACCGATTTCAAAGTAAGAATTAATTAAATTCATTACATTTGTTGGTTTATTATGAATCACATTAAATAATAAATAAATAGTAGATTTTCATAAAATAGTATAAACCTCTCAACTTAAGAACACATCAAAACATAATATGATAATTGATTATTTTGTTATGTTTTACTTATATTTTACATATTTTTTATATGTAGTATATCTTTTTTTGTAAACATAAAAGTCTTCTTTAAATTTTTGTTATGTTTTTAACATATATTTTATCATAAATACTTTATCCTATCAAAAACACACATACGAAAAAGATAATACGTACATCTCTGGGCGTTAAAAAACATCAACGCCTTTCTCTAGTAGGCATAAACACACAAATTAAATGTTAACTACATAAACGGTATGTTCAAAAATAAAGTAGATATAATAGCACATATGTAGAGAAGATTTCATCAGGCAGCAAGAGGAAAAACGATTTACCTGGAAAGTTTCAACACTACACAGAAAGGCTGTCAGTTGATTGTTATAGCAAAATTTTCTTTGTAAAACGATAAATCAGTCGTTTCAAACCAACAATCAGTGGCGGATCTACGTGCAACAACAAGGGATCAGTTGCCACCACAATAATATAACATTTCAATAAAGTGCATTAAGGATACAATGAATTATGTAGTTTAGTTAGTTAAAAATCTATTTTTGCCCCCACCAAACCTGGGTTCAACCTCCCATTACTCTTATTATTTATGATTTCATTTTCTTGTACCCACTCAATATATTTTCTGGATCCACCACTGCCAACCATGCTGGAGCTCTTAGAGCGAATATCACGGATTGCTTTAATTTTGACTGGTTCAGAACCCATGAACTCAACAACTATTTGCATTCAAAACCCTATTTCAGTATCAAAAATGAGAGATGAGTTTGATGGAGGAAGTATTACTTCGCGCGCAAGTGGATAATTAATTTTTGAAATAGAATGATGTGAAATTGTTAATTTCATTAATTTTATAAATACTTCATCATTTGACACCAATGTAATGAAACTAATTCCACAAACATTCCAAAAAATATTTACATAGAAATATTCTTGTATAATTTTGATTATGAATTAATATGATATATTATTCCAAATTTAAATTAATTTCATTTATCTTATTTTATTCATGTAAGTTCTATGAATTCCATTTCATAGTTACCATTTATAGCTTTTGTTTATACGGTAGTAACCGCCTGTCTAGCGGATATTAGACACTGGTACTTAGACTACTCACAATGAAGTGTTGAATTAATAACCGTTTTTTCCATGTGTTGAGTCTTTTTTCTCTTATGCATTATTTAATTCAGTTATTATATATTAAATATGTATTTTGTACAAGGAAAATATCAAAATTTATCATTTTCATACTTTATAAATAGAGACATTAATGTATTGAATTAAATTTTTCATAATTCTATTTTTGTAATTCAATTATCTATATTTCTTGTTTTTAAGAATTAATTTTCAAATTAAAATTATCAAATTAAACAGAAATATTTTATCATTTATATATTTCTTAAGTATCGTAATCTAATTTAAACTAATAATTATTATTAATATGTAATTATAAAACCAAAAATGAACAAAATAAAAATATAAAAAATAAAATGGTAAGATAGAGTATTTAATTTTATTAATTAAACAAACCACTGTAAGATAGAAAAAAAGAGTGGAAGTTGAGTTATTAAAGAGAAAAGAAAGAAACTGATTTAGAAGAAAGAGAAGATGAGATTGAGGGTATTGTGTATTGATGTATATAGTCTTACCGATACAATCAATTCCGAACGGAATCTTTTAACTTTTGTCATCACACACCACCGGTATAGCCATCGCCAACTAACCAAACCACGAACATTAAACCAGAAAATTCAAGAAACCGATTGTACCAACCGGTTATTAATCTATCTATCTCTCTTTTTCGCATCACTTTCCCTCTCATTCTTCTCTCTTATCTCTCTCTCTCTCTCTAATGCCTCGTGACTCCTAGTAAATCACTTTAAACTCGCCGCGTTTCTCATGAGCCTTCATCACACTTAACCACAACCAATCTCCTCCTCCTCCTCCTCCGCCATGCCCTCACCGCATGCCTTCCGCAACGGCGAATCTCCGACTTCACGAGACCTCACTCACTTCCACTCCACCGTCGCAGCTCAGAAGCTCCGCCGCTTCAACTCCCTGATCCTCCTCCTCCGCCTCGCCTCTTTCTCCTTCTCACTCGCCTCCGCGATCTTCATGCTCACCAACTCACACGGCTCCGGTTCGCCTCGCTGGTACGACTTCGACGCTTTCAGGTTCGGTTTCTCCTCTCTCTTTTATCCCCTCAATTTCGAAAAACGCGAATTTTGTAAGCTGAGATCAGAAAATCGCGTTTTGGTTGATAGATTCGCGTTCGTGGCAAACGCGATCGTGGCGATATATTCGGTGTTTGAAATGGGAACTTGCGTTTGGGAGTTTTCTAGAGAGACAACGTTGTGGCCTGAAGCGTTTCAAGTGTGGTTCGACTTTGGCCATGATCAGGTGATTAATTAACAATGACTTCTTTAAATGCAAACATGTTTCAATCATTGCATCTAATTAAGCTAATTATTTTATTACTAAACTTGATTATTTTAATTAAATAATTAAAACAAAAGAGACAACAAGACACAGAAGTTGAAAGTGAGCAAATATTACAGTCTGTAATAGCTTCAGATTGCTTCCAATTTTTTTCTAAATGAGTTTAATTACTTTATTGTTAACTTGATTATTATCCCCAATTAAATAACAACAACCAAATAGACAAGACATGCTAAGTAACAGTTAAAGTGTTTAATAACTTGAGATTTTGCTATTGGCAGGTTTTCTCCTACCTGTTACTGTCGGCAGGATCAGCTGCAGCAGCACTAGCTAGAACGATGAGGGGAAGTGACACGTGTACGGCTAATAAAGTCTTCTGCTTGCAATCAGATGTAGCCATTGGTTTAGGCTTTGCTGCTTTTCTCTTCCTTGCTTTCTCTTGTTGCTTCTCTGGGTTTCGAGTGGCTTGTTTCCTCATCACAGGCTCTCGTTTTCACATTTAGTGTTTGATTCATAAAAAGAAACGTTTCTTACATTTGTTTGATGCCATAAATATATGAAAAATCAATCAGGAAAAGAAGATGAAAAAGTTGTTTGGCCAGGACTATGAAGTCTCCCTACACACAGTTTTGTTGAAGAATCATTAATATTTAAGTTTTTGCTACAATCTTGATAGATCTTCAGCTTCTGCTACGTTTATGAGAGAGTTCAAGCTTTTGCAACGTTCTTGAGAGAGTTCTACTTTGACATTATTTTTCTTAGCTTTCTTACCAAAATAGAAGACAAAACATGATTTGATGAACTATGAAAAACTTTCAAGTTACAAACAAAACAAAATCATTTACAGTATTCGTAAATGGATGAAGCTGAAGAAGCAGAGAAGAAGTTAAGAGACTCAGTTTATCACTATTTATGTGTGGAATGGGTCTAAGCTTCGGTTACAGTCTGAGGTTGCTCTACTTTGACCTTAGCTTTACTCTTCTTCTTGCTATCCTTCACCTTCTTCTCCTCTACACCTTTCTCTGCATCTAGCTCGATCCTTGCAAAAACTGGACTGGCTTGCGCCATTACTTGTCCACCCTTTAGCCCTCCCCACTTGGTGTCACTCTAAAACAAAACAGAAGAACCGTTACAATCAAAGCGAAAATTTCACAAAGTTTTAGTTTAAACCAGATGACAAGAGATCGTTTGTTGTTACCCATGTTATGCTATTGAACTGATCAACTGAATAGCCAAGCTGTGAATATATCCTCAAGCTTAAGCAAGGAGAAATAGGGGATAAAGCAACCGCTATGATTCTCATTACTTCCAGTATAATCACCAGATCCTGTAATCATTGACACAAAGCCAGTCACTAACCTTGTTCCTCTAACCAATAACATATCCTTTTGTTTAGTGAAAGAAGATAAGACCTTGGCTGCAGCTTCTGCTGAGACACCACCTTGTTTGAAAAGCATCCAAGGTGCTCTTTGATCCATGTAGGAGTTTCCTGCATTACCAATCTCCAACACAGCTTCACACGCCGTTGATAATGACAAGCTCTCATAGTTTGTCCGAGCTTTCTCAACCTTTTTAATAGAGAACAGTGCTAATTTTTAGATGAAAGATTTGACCTCAGATGAAAGTTGCTACTGGAAGGAACATTACCAGCTTCTCCACTGTGTCTTTCAAAGGGATTCCTTCAGCTGCAATAGTCGAATCCACGACTAAAGTGGATTCACAGTTCTTCTTAAGAAGGCCAAGAGTACGGTTAAGGAGGTTTCCTGAAGAGAAATACAATTAAACGTTTTTAGAACTATATAACCAAAAGGCTAAGGTAGACTGAAAGAGTTAGTTTAAGTAGAGTTGAGAAACCTATCGTGTTGGCGAGGTGTGCATTGACAATTTTAATAAAGCGGTCTTCTGAATAGTCCCCATCGTTTCCAAACTCCACCTCTCGAAGGAAGAAGTACCTGACAGCATCTGGGCCAAACTTCTGAACCAACTCAAAAGGTTCTAATGTATTGCCCAACGATTTTCCCATCTTCATTCCATCCTTTAGTTTGATAATCAATAGAACCAATGACATGAGAAAAGACAAATCTAATTTTCTTTACATGTAAATATGAATAAAATAAGTTGGCTAGAACAATAACTCTTTCATTTAACATCAATCAGGTAATATATGAAAGCATCAAAGAGATTTTGGTTAGGTACCTTTGTCAAAAATCCATGGCCAAACACCATCTTTGGAAGGCTTAGACCAGCAGACATTAGCATAGCAGGCCAGTAGACAGCGTGAAATCGCAGAATGTCCTGTAGTTGTTTCATTTATACGCAAAATCTCAAGGTGAGTCCGTTTAATATCACTAAAGTTGATAATGAGTACACGCTATACCTTCCCAATCAAATGCAATGAAGCAGGCCAGCCTAATGAAACTGCAGTGTCCAGATTTTGTTGCTCATTGTCCTCTGTTAAAGCTGATATGTAACTGTAATGAAAGATGAGAGAAATGAGATTAGAATTCAATCTCACAATGCTTAGTAAACTAGTAGAAACATTACATCAGAGTGAGAAAACATGATGAATACTCAAGGAAAAGAGAAAAGAAGTTTACCCCAACAGAGCGTCAAACCAAACATAAATGGTTTGCTTATCGTCATCAGGAACAGGAATCCCCCAATCAACTAGTGCTCGAGAAATCGAAAAATCCCTTACGCCACTCTTTATCCAACTTTGCACCTAAACAAGAAGCCTATTAGAAAGGGATTAAAACATAATGAGCTTCCCTTAACATCAAATCTTTGTGCTACTGAATAATATGTATCACCAAAGGTCCATAAGTACTAAAGGAAGAGAACTCGAAGACTGACCTCGTTTAAACGGTATGAAGGCTGCACAAACTGAGGATTCTGAGACAAAACTTCTTCAAGTTGTTTCTGATATTTCGACAGAGCAAAGAAGTAGTTATCTTCCTTCCTTGCAACACATGGCATTTGATGAACAGGGCAACAATTGTTTTCAAGCAGCTCTTTCTCATCCTATAGATTCCAAAAAACAAAGCCAATACAATAAACTTGTGACACATTTTATAAACCCTTTCTCTTCATATAAAGAAACAAACCTTATATTCCTCGCAGTTAACACAGTAAAGCCCTTCATAATCAGCTCTATATATATCACCGTTTGCGAAAACTCTGGCGTAAAACTCTTTCACAATAGCTTCATGCTTAGGATCAGTGGTTCTAATGAACTTATCATAAGCTATATCTAGTTCTTTCCAAAGAACTCTATACGATTGAGAAATGAGATCACAATGCTCAGCAGGGTTGCGTCCATTAGCAGCTGCTGACGTAGCTATCTTCTCCCCATGCTCATCTGTTCCTGTGATAAAGATAACCTTCTTGCCAAGCAACCTCTACACAAACAAGACCCATCACATAAAAATTGGAACTTGTAGTTACTAGAAAACGATTGAAACTTTACAATACCCATCAGATAAAAATTGAAGTTTACAATAACCATCAAATAAAAATTGAAACTTTACAAGACCCACACATAAAAACTGAAACTTTACAAGAACCCATCACATAAAAATTGGAACTTGACAAGACCCAACACATAAAAATTGAAACTTTGCAAGAGCCCTAGAGAGGTCAGAGCATGAATGAGAAGACCCACCTGGAAACGAGCGATTGAATCGGCGGCTATAGTGGTGTAAGCACTGCCCATATGTGGAGGTGCATTTACGTAATAAAGAGGAGTGGTGAGGACAAATGTCTCGCCGTTTTCATGGCTAGAAGTACAGTAGAGAGCTCTCCTTGGGGAAGAAGGGAGCTTTTTGGAGAATCTGAAACTGTTTCTGGAAGAGAATGGTTTTGTGATGAGGAGAGTGTTGAAGGGTTTTAGCAAACAGAGGGCGTTGTGAAGCGAAGTGTTCAGCCTCGTTGCCATTGATGGAAAGCTTCGCCTGAGAAACGGAGGAAGTGGGGCTGCGGTTTGGAGCGAAGTTTAGGTTATGGTTCGGTTTTTATCGGTCGGTGAAGTGTAAAAATGAAACCGGTTCAATTCAGCTCGTGTCAGATTCATTGTGTAAAATGTAAACCGTTTACTTTTTTGTCAACCGGCTCTTTGACTTTTTGAATTTCCGGTTCTTTGTAGAAAACAGTATTAAAAATTGTATAATGTTTCTGCATAAAGAATTCTGAATTTTGAATTCTAAAAAATTAAATAAAAATGAAATAAATTTACATGATTTTTTTGCATAATTTAAATAGAACCTTCAGACAAATATTCATAAATAAAAAAAAAATAAATACAATCTTACTCTATTAAAAGGGCTAAATAAAGCCACCTTAGAATGTCCACATGGGAAAAAATATTCTACCAATAAGAAAGCTTAAATCATCCACGTCGGATTGGTTTGTCTGACTCGGTTATCACATTAAAATCGAGGTTTGGTTTTGGTCTGAAATTCTATTCTGGTTTTGGTTTATTTTTGGTTTGATTATTGGTTTCAATATTATTCAGTTTTACTTTGATATTTTTAGATTTCTCTTTGTGTTTTGTTAGATTATGAAAGAAACTAATTGATCATTAATTTCTTTTATGAATTTTGATTAATAATCTTTTTAAAATTGACTAATATTTTATTATGAAAGTTTTGTTATATAAATTCATAAAACTTGGAGATTGTTTTTATTTAAATATAGCTATTAAATTTTTAATATTTGGAAATGTAGATTACAGAAACCATATTACAAAATTGTTTTTTTATTGGTTTGCAAAATATACTTTAAAGTCATAATAGATTTAACTTTAGAAAAATATAGATTAATCACGTACATACGTGACTTCCTAATTTTGTGAAAATTCATTCAGTACGTATTAGTTAAAAGAGACCAAGGTAATAGTGATTTTGGCTATCAGTTTGTTGCTACCGTATATACAATAATAATCTATAACATGAACAATGCCATTTGATTTTATGTTCTGTTTTTATTTCTGCTGCTATTCTTTAGTTTCGAAGAAATCATACCACTGCTACGTCTTCCCTTCCAACTTCTGTCACTGTAGTAGTCATCATTGAAGAGTGTAGGCCAGTGTTTATTAGTAGATCTTGATATTTTTTCAGTGTAGACCGTTTCTCTTGACAATTGATGGTGTAGTAAAGTGTATCTTTTTGTACAATGTTTCTAAACTCCTACAATAGAGAAACAATTTAACAACTACAATAGATAAAAGATATAACAATGTTTTTTTTTTGCGTATGGATCTACGATATATAGAGAAATCGAGTGCTATCAGCGAACTTCTATTAACTTTTATTTATATTCTTTCATAAACATTGTTGAGAATTATTAATTACCTTAAAAACACTTTATTTGTTTAACATATATATTTTAACGAATTAAATAACTGACATAAAAATTACAAAAAAACACAAAAGTTATGCAATAAATTATTTTAAATTTGACTAAATTAATATGTAAAATCACCTTTGCAATCGTTTGAAGTATATATTCCCAAAAATTCAATAATGTATCTGTAATCCATTTATATGTTATGAACACAAAATCATTTTTAAATGCAAAAAAAATAATAAAAATGATTGTAATATCATTTCTAAATTATAATAGCAAACTATTTATAAAGAATTAACCCGGACGTAGCCTGGGAAAGGACCTAGTATAACTAAAATTTTCAAAAGTGGGAACCTTAAACACACACACATAAATTATCGATTATATAACTGTATTATAATAATTTTCAATTTTAAATAGATAAATCAGTGTTTTGAAAAAATAATTATGAATATTTTTTACATTAATCCTTTCTATTAATTACATTAATCATAATTTATTAATAAATTTAAATTACATCAATTTTCCCCTGCATGCACCACAAGTATCAATTTTATACTAGGATACAAACACTCATGTACATATCAACATTTTAAATTTCATCCTTTCATATATAAGAGTTGTAGTCTTTGTAAGCTTCAATTGTAGTTCAGAGTGTATGTCAATTCTCAAACGCCTTGACGTACGTAGGCAGATTTGTTCACGTCTTCAACCTGCTCCACCATAACTTCATCCACTCCACTAAGAAAATGAAAATTTTATACATCCAGACAACCACATTAGAACAACGAAACTAAAATAGTTATTCTCTTTGAAAAATGTGGCCCTTTACATTTTTCACTCAAATATCCTACGATGTATAATATAAGACATGAAGTATACTAATACCGTAAGCTAAGTTCAAAAAAAAAGTATACTAATACCGTATACTTTGTATTGTCCAAACGTAATATAATAACTCGAGGACACCTTTTGATAATGCATTTACTTTATAAAAAAGAAAAGTAAATTTGTGGAGCCACTCTAATTGCTGCTGCGAAAACATGCTTTTAATGGATGCACTCATACACATGTCATGTGTGAGACATTTGGTACCATCATTACCAGCTTCACCATCAAATCTTTATTTATTTTTCATTGTTTCATTGACACACATATTAGTGTCATACAAAATTTTATAAATCACTCTTTTATCTCTCCCTCTCTCCGTACATATTTACTAAAGAAGCTTCAACTTACGACGAAGAGTTGAGGACGTAGTTCGAGTGTTGATTTAATTCACGTAGCAAACAAGTTACTTTGATTAACGACTGAAACATATTTAACGTTATTGTTAAGTTTTCCTTGACGGTACAAGCCAATAATTTGATGAAACATAAAAGGGGGATTGTGACAAGTCTTGCATGTAATTAATGGCTTTTCATATCATACTAGATTGAGATAGAGACTTCACCTAAATGCATTTACCTAAGCAATATACCAAACAAATCCTTCTTTAAAAGAAACATATATACATCACATTCATATATACAAAATAGGATCTTTTTTTTTTGTAACAATAAAAAATAGGATCATATAAAATACAACTTATACTAATTTGATGTTTTCATACGTATTATGCTTACAAGTGAATATAATAATGCTGGGGTGAACACTTGTTGTGTACCAGGTTATTCAGACTAGTATCATTACAAAGGCAATTATTTGTAGAGTTATCCGAGAAATCTAGTCCTAACAACTAGATCGCAATGTCCATCTCTTCAAATGTTCTCTCTTACAACTATTCGTTTGATTGGATAAATTTTTCAGAACATAATCTTGTGGCAAAGATACCATAACCAAACACCAGTCATATGTTGTTCTAGATCATAAGAAAACATAGTAAAAATAATACAGTATCTTAGTAAGTTACTATGAAGTTAATTCGTTTTTTTTCTTTCCAAGTTCGAACCCACGACTGAATGCACTATTGGCTATTTATGGAAGTTACCTAGTTTTCTCGTTGACTACGGATAATTAGCTAGTTAATTATTTTACAGTTTTACTTGACCGATCTAGCTCAACTGTACAAATGCGAGTAAAAGAAAAAAACTGCACAAATCGCATTTATTGCCTTTGATGTCTAAACAAACTTTCCAATTAAAGAGACTCTGAACCTGTCTCATGATGTTGAAATAATAATATTACAAAATCAAGAAACATAATTCAGAAAACTTAAAATAATAGTAGAAAAGAAAGAAAGAGAGACAGGCTTCTTAATCAAAAGCACCAACCAAAGTTTACCAACTTCTTCTCATCACAAACCAAAACCCAAAGAAAGAAAGAAACAGAGCAACAATGGCCATGGAGGAGAAAGACAAGAAAATCAAGAAAACTAAGAAGAAGAAAGACACCAAATCCTCGCCGGACATCTCCTTCAAACCTTCCTCCACCGTCAAAGGCCTCAAATTCGGCGGCCAGATAATCGTCAAATCATTCACAATCCGGCGAGCAAGAACCCTTGAGCTCCTAAAACTCCTCTCCCTCCCTCCTTCTCCTTCTCCATCACCATCTCCGCCGCTTCTTTCCACGGCGGCGTATCTTCCGACCAACTTCACCATCTTAGCTCACCAAGCATGGCACACACTCACCCTCGGACTAGGCACAAGGAAGTCCAAAGTGGTTGTCTTCGTGTTCGAAACGGAGGAGATGAAGACGGCGGTCACGGCGGCGGAGGGAGGACTCTGGCCGTCGGAGATTCCCCTCGGCGACGTGAACAAGAAGATGATTAGGAAGTTAAAGAACTGGGAGATGGCGAGGTTTAAATTCAGGAAAGGATGCTTGACGTTTTACGTATACGCCGTGAGAAACGCCGGAGGAGAGGGGTTTGCGGCGGCGGAGGACTTAAAGGTAATTTTACAAGCGGTGGTGGCTTTGAAAGACTTCATGGATCATACGGCGATGCTTGTAATGCCCCACCAGAAAGCTATTAATTACACTTCTTGTCCTCCTTTTGCCATGGCTCACTAGTGTGGGCCTCTTTTTTTTTTTTTTTTTTTTTACTTTCTTTTATTCATTTTATTTTGGTTCAAAACTCCTTTTTATTCATATAAAATACTTTTTGTGGTAGAAATATTATCATTGTTTTATGAAAAAATACTCTTAAATAGCAACAAATCAAGTTTTTGCTTAAAAATAACATACAAAAATCATCACCTAAAGAGTATTCATTAAAAGTAAAAATAAATATTTTTATAATGTTTAGAGTTTAGTATTTAAGGATGAGATTAAAATTTAAGAATTAGGATGTAAGATAATTTAGTGTTTTATTGATTAATAATTTTGAATATTTTTTTAAAATTCTCCTTGTTAACAAACGTTTTTTTAGTGAAATTTACCCTTGTTTCATCTCTGTTATCATTTTGATGATAGTGGCTTTCGTAGTATTTGCATTTTTTTTAGCAAAAGTATTTGCAATTTTTGTATTAATTTGGAGGTGTCGATATTATGTGGTCTAGTTATCCGAAACAGGTGTCACTATGAATTTATATCTACATCATGACGAGTCAATTATGTCTTGAATGAGATAAAAAATCATTAATGCGTATATTTTTGTTTGTATATTTGATCGACAAAATGTTAATAATTCTATGTTAGCATGTTAATATCACTGCACTGCTAAGTTAACGATGCAATGTCATCATTGTAGAATATTATTGCATGTTTGGCTGAAAACAAGTGTTCGAGGAATAACAACATTGATTTTTTTTCTGTTGAGCATTGGTTTATTTAACATAAGCGGACAACCCAACGGTTTGTTTACTAAAGAGCCCTAACTCAAGTAGCTAATGACTTTTTTCTTTGTTTAACAAACCGGTAAAGAGTTACAAAACGATGAAAAGAAAGGTTACAAGATATCTTTGTGAACCCCTACTATACCAAAGCTCAAAGTAAAATCTATTGAGAACTGTGAAGGGTAAAACTCACTTCTTAATTTAGGTTAGGTTAAGGTTTGGGGAGAAGATAATCGTGGGCTGAATTCCTTAAGAACTTAGAGAATGAATTGTCGTTATATTGATGTTGTTGTAAAGAGAATGAACACAAAGATAATTGAGATTGATACAAGGAAAACAGATGAATGATCTATCCGTGATAATGTACGTGTAAGATGTGTAAAAAGACGTGAATCCTTTTCCCTTTGTTCCTTTCTCCTTTAAATAGCCTTAGGTCACGCGTAACTTCCCCTAATCAGCCTCCGAGATTCTCTCCGTAAACTAAGGGATTTGCAACTGCTTCCTTTTGACCGAATCGTATGTCTCTATCCTCGTTTCCTAGGCTGTTTTGTCAGGTCCCTACGAAAGAATCCGGACCTCTTCTCCGTGACCTCCTT